ATTTCCCCCTCCTCTCTCCCCTCCCTTCCCTCCCCTCACCCTGACCATTTCCCCCCTGCTCGGGTCATGACCCAACTGTGCAGCGCCTTGGGACGTCCTCCTGACGTGAAAGGCGCTCTATAAATGGAATCTTGTTGTTGTTGTTGTTGTTGTTTTGTCATAAAATTTAAGATACCACCAAAGTGTGGGAGATGCTTGATTTGGAAGGAATGTTTTTGCATCTCATAAAAAAAACAACTTCTAAATTAAGACTCCTCAGTTGCATGTGAACTTACGCTTTATGACAGAATGGTTTTACAGGCCAAGATGTTGTGGGATTTAAAGCCTGATGTTTGTCTTTCAACTGATCTGTAACTATTACATTTTATTCTTCTGCTTTTACTTATTGTCACTGTCACAGACTCTGCTTTTGCCTTTATTCCCCAAGCACCTCCTCTTCTCCATAGTCACCCGATCTCCCTGGCACTCTCTCTGGGTTGATATCTTCAGGGTGGTCTTGCTGGCAATGTCTGCCATGTCAGCTCTTGAGCATTTCCCCTGGGCGTCACATAGTTTTCTGTCTCCTCTCCATCATTCTGTCTGTTGATTCTGCTCTGATTGAGTTCTCAAGTCTATTATTGGCCACCCAAATGAATCCAGGGAGAAGCCACAAACCAAGCTCCTGCAGGGTCTCAGTACCTGCCCTATTTAGCTCTCATCTTTATTCTGTCTTGCACCAATAAAACTCCATTCACTCTTAAGCAATTTAGTTGTTGTTAAGCCCTGCATTAACCTGGTCTAACTTTTTTTTACAATATCCAATAATACTTTCTTAACTAAAGTATTTGCAATTGAAGGTGAGTTTCAGTGTTGGGGTTAGCAATGGCTTCAGTGGGTTTTAGTTGGGTCAGGTCATTTCTTTAGTAAAATCTACTTGTATATAGCAACAACTTGTATTTATATAGCACCCCACATGTAGGGTAGCTTCCCAGAACACTCGACAGTGGCGAAGCATGACTCTGAGCTGTGGGGAGGTGACCGTAGGCACGGTTAAAGATCTTCAGGTACAATCTGAAGATGGGGAAGGATAAATTCTTTTAAGTAAGGACCATTTGCATCTGCGTAATGCTGGAGGGTGTGAAGAATGACAATATATTGTTTTGTACAATACAATATATTGTATTGTTTCAATACACTATTCAATGCCTTGATTCTGCTTATCCTCATTCCCTAAAGACTCTTCAACAACCTCTCTCACACACATTGAATTGTGCAGAGTTACATAGAAATATATAGAATGTTACAGCACATATATAATTAGTTAAACTATGCCAGTGTTTATACTCCACATTAGTCTCCACACCTCCTAATCTCCTCTCCTATATTCCTCAATTTCCTTCTCTCTCACGTATTATTGATAATTTCTGCTTCAACAACAGCTTCTAGCAGTGAGTTCTCCATAAATATCATCTCTCTCAATATCCCTTTTATTTGATCAAATTTGTTCTTCCCTCTGTCTGTGTTGTTTGTCAAGAAAGGTCACCACCTGGTAGCAATAATAGTTGTGACATTGGAACATAGTCCATAATCTTCTCTGCGTCAGAAAATCTAACTATGAAGATACTGATTCATGTTCATCATTGATGAATCATTTTAAGCGATCTACAGGATGTATATATAAAAAATAAACTGCATTGAAGTTATTTTCTATTTGTTCACACCATTGTTTTCCTCACCCGTTTCCTCATTGACTAACTTGGAGCACTTACTATTTGCAAACCTGACAGTGGTGATGATCAAAGTGTAGAGCACAAATGTTATATCCTTCCTCATCCCTTAGACAAGAAATAGCTGATTCCAACAATGACCAATTTTCAATAGCAGTGAAAGGGCAGACTCTGCTATATTGCCAGTAATTGCAGGCTTGTTCACTGCACAGCAAGTCTGGCTCATCAGCAGGACCTGGAAGGGCAGACCAGTCACTGGGGGCAGGGAGTCATCCCACTCAGCTCCTGTTAACCCTGCAAGCCAAAGCCATAACCGGTAGGGTGGTCCTAGCTGGACCAGCAGCGGGAAAGCTTGCCAGACAGCAATATCAATGGCAAACTATGCAGTTTTGGCCGATTAGATTCCAGCAGTACCCCACCCCACACTCTGAGGTCCCCAAGCCTTGGTTCCTGCCAACCTGCACCTAATGCTCTCCAGAATGAACATGATGCATCCCTCCAGGGAGAGTTTGTGTTCCATTCCAACAATCTATCTCTGGAATTTCCATGCACAGGTGGGATGCATGGAATTCTCAGCTTGGTTTGGATACTCTTAAGCATGGTGATGGGTTTCAGCTTGTAGCAGATACCTGGCTGACCAAAAAAAAACAGCATTAAAAGATTGGTTCAGATAAAGAAGCCCCTTTGACCTACTTTACCTGATCCTTCCATATCTACCATCTTCCTACAACAGAATCAAGCTGTTTTGTAAGTGACGTTTGATTGGATAAAGTTAAAGGATCAATTAAAAATAATCTATGGCCATTTATTTCTTTGAGTGAAGCAAGTCATTCAATCAGATAACTCAAAAAGTAACCCTTTAGAAGGTCCATAGTCACTTACAATGTGGTTTGATATATAAATTTAGTTAGAATGGTTTTAGTTCAACAGTGGGACACTGCTACCAACACCCTGCTTGAGATGTTCCAATACCACAAACATGTGGTAGTGGTATTGTAGTGTTCACTTTGAGAACTAGCATTGACAGTGTCCAATGTTAGTTCAGGTTTGGATTCAAACTTGTTTCCTCAGATTAGAGCTCAACATTGGGGAGAAATGTATTATATCCAGTCAGCCTAACGTCAGTAGTAGGGAAACTTCTAGAGACTATAATCCAGACAAAATAAATTTTCACTTAGAAAAATATGGGTTAATAAAGGGCAGCCAACACGGATTTGTTAAAGGCAGGAAGGATGATGGTAGTGCAGTTGATATAGTTTATATGGATTTTCAAAAAGTGTTTGATAAAGTGCCACAGAAGAGGTTGGGACAGTGGCAGCATGGATACAGAACTGGATGGAATACAGAAAGCAGAGAGTTGTGGTGAACGATTGTTTTTCTGACTGGGGGTGAAGTGTGCAGTGGTGTCCCCGAGGGGCAGTATTGGGACCACTACTCTTTTTGATCTATATAAATGGGTATAGACTTGGGTATAGGGAATAGAATTTCCAAGTTTGCAGATGATACTAAGCTAGGAAAAGTAGTAAACGGTGAGAATGATAGTAGCAGACTGCAAGAGGATATAGATAGCCTGAAACGATAGGCAGGCACATGGCAGATGAAGTTTGATGTGGAGAAACACGAAGTGATGGATTTTTAGAGGAAGAATGAGGACAGGCAATATAGCTGATGGTACAATCTTAAAGGGGGTGAAGGAACAGAGAGACCTGGGGGTTCATATAAATAAATCTTTGAAGGTGGCGGGACAGGTGGATAAAGCTGTTAAACAAAGCATACAGGATACTTGGCTTTACAAATAGGGGCATAGAATACAAAAGTCGGGAAGCTATGATAAATCTTTATAAAACATTGGTTATGCCTCAGCTAGAGTGCTGTGTTCAGTTATCAGGAGAGGGTAGAGAAGCCAGGATTATTTTCCTTGCAGCAGAGAAGGTTAAGAGGAGACTTAATAGAAGTTTACAAAATGATGAGCGGATTTGCTAGGGTGAAGAAGGAGAAACTATTGCCACTGGCAGGTGGGTTGATAACCCAAGGACACCGATTTAAAATAGTTGTAAAAGAAACAGAGGGGAGTTGAGGAGAATTTTTTTCACAGAGTGAGTTGTTTGGAGCTGGAATGCATTGCCTGAAAGGGTGGTGGAAGCCAATTCGATAATAACTTTTAAGAGAGAAGTAGGTAATTATTTGGGGAGGACAAGTTTGAAGGGGAGAGCAGGGGAGTGGGATTGATTTGGATAGGTCTTTTAAAAGAGCTGGCACAGACACGATAGGCTGAATGGTGGTCTTCTGTGCTGTATAATTCTATGACTCCACAGCAGATTCGAGTGATATGATGGTTGTTTCATAAGATACTTGTTTGAATTAAACCGATATCCAGTGAAGCAGTACTGAGATCCATTGAAAGTGCACCCTCCGCATCACCATTTGAGGTCACACTTTCAGCCACTACGCCCTGAAACTGTGGAAAACTCCCCCTCAATCCCTCCACCTTGCGCACTCTCTCTCCCCTTTTTCAAGACTCACCTGAAAACCTTCCTTTTCGACCGTGCTTACGTACACCTCCCCGCCACCCCACCTCTGGCTTGAAGTCAGGCCCTGCCACTGTTAAGCGCTCTGGAGACACTACCCTGCGTGGAGGGCACTATATAAGTGAAAGTTGTTGTTGTTGAAATATAGACCCCTGCAATTCAAAACGGGAAAGGGAGTGCTGAAATCTTTGGGCTCCACAATGAGTCATGGTTGAAGGGTGAACAGGTTGGAATGCAGTGCTCGAATCTGAAGTCAATGCATAATTATCAACTGAAATTTCACTATATGATGAATATCAGCTCAAATCTATCATGAGGTTTTGCATCTCATTGTGTGACTGGAGTCAAAAATGTTTAAAGTTTGTTTAAAATAGCCAGAATAAAAGGAGAGCAAATGATACATTTACATCATGTACTGTTACAGTAATTAGAATAAACATGACAAATGTAGATTGTTTTCACTAGAACACACAGAAAGTTAGAAAGGGGTCTTCTAAAGATCTTAAAGACTGAAAGGTTTGAGAGGTGAAATATTGGTAGATTATTCCCACTGGTTGCTGAATCTGTGAGAAGTGCTCTGAGTTTAGGATTGTCACTGTTTTTCTTTTAATCACTCAGAATTTAAGTGAGAGTTGCAGGAGGTAAAATGTAGCTAGTTCCATTCAATGATTTTCAATATCTGCTTTTGATACAATAAAGGACTGAAACTGGAACCAGATTTGACGATATGAGATATGATTGACATTATTGCTCATCCGCAAGTTTATTCAGATTTGCCTTCAATTTTTAAACAATAAAATACTTAAATTCTTATGTTATTGATAAATATATGGATAAAAGTGGCTGTTTGGATTTTTGTTTCATAGATGTAAAAATTCATGAAGGAAACAGAAATTGAGAATAAATGTGTGAGATTTGAGCCCGGATTCATTGTGTTCTCACATCAAATCTGTTATGAAATCTCACAAATTTACCCCCAGTAAATATTCCCTCCCTTGGACATTCTCTTCAATTACAGCTTGTTCAGCTTGTTCAATAAAATGACCAGGTTAAAAAATACCCACAAGGATTCTCTCTTCTCACCCAATTGGTTTAAAAGACTTTTGGTTGCTTTGTTTCTTTGCGATGAGAAATCTGAATGACAGAAATGTTGTTCACACCATCTGGCAGTTTTAGCAACCAAACTAATCCCAGCCAATAGGATTTGATGATAAGGTATTCGAGGATTTCAATAATAGTTATGCAGCTTGCACCACAGAACAACCCGAGCTGTCCTCCGATGTCACCTGTGAAATGGCAATAGAAAGAAACATCTATCATCACTGACTTTAAACTCATCTACAACAACAACAAAATTACATTTGTATCGCGCCTTTCACATCGGGAGGACATCCCAAGGCGCTGAACAGACAGAGTTGCGGACCTGAGCTGAGGGTCGGGGTGGGGGATGGCAGGGGGGGAAGCAGGCAGATTGAAAGCAAGGACAAAGAGGAGGGTCTTAAGTTGGGTCTTGAAAGTGTTGAGGGAGGGGGTGAGACAAAGAGACTGCGGGATGGAGTTCCAAAGAGTGGGGGCAGAATGGAGGAAGGTCCACTCAACGATAGTGGGGCGAGCAAGACAGGGAACGTCAGGCAGGCCAGAGCCTGCTGAGTGGAGGGAGCGAACAGGGTGGTAAGGGGTTAGGAAGTTGGAGAGGTAGGGGGAGCAAGACTGTGGAGGGCTTTGAAGGAGAGGACCAGGATCTTGAACTGTATTCTCTGTGTGATGGAAAGCCAGTGGAGTTGGGCAAGGATGGGGGTGTTAGGGTCGCGGAACCTAGTGCGCGGAGAGGACACGGGCTGCAGAGTTCTGGATGATCTGTAGCCTGTGGAGGGAGGAGTTGAGGAGGTCGACCATCAGTGAGTTTACATAGTCGAGCCTCAATGTAATGAAGGTGCATATGAGGGTTTCGGCGGCCTGCGGTGTGAGACAGTGTCGGAGCCGGGGGAAGGCAACAACAACAACAACAACAAGATTCCATTTATAGAGCGCCTTTCACGTCAGGAGGACGTCCCAAGGCGCTGCACAGTTGGGTCATGACCCGAGCATTGGGGGAAATGGTCAGGGTGAGGGGAGGGAAGGGAGGGAGCGAGGAGGGGGAAATGGTCAGGGTGAGGGGAGGGAAGGGAGGGAGAGAGGAGGGGGAAATGGTCAGGGTGAGGGGAGGGAAGGGAGGGAGCGAGGAGGAGGAAGAGAGTCGAGAGGGGAGCTGAAGGCACGGTCAAAGAGAAAGGTTTTGAGACCGGCCTTGAAGGAGGAAAGGGAGGAAGCAAGGCGAAGGCACTGGGGGATGGAGTTCCAGAGCCTCGGGGCTGAGAGGCTGAAGGCCCGACCACCGATAGTAGGGCGGTTGGGGCGGGGGACGTGGAGCAGACCGGAGCCAGAGGAACGGAGGGTACGGGCAGGTAGGTAGGGGGATAGTAGGTTGGAGAGGTAGGAGGGAGCAAGGCCGTGAATGGCCTTGTAGGTGAGGATGAGGATCTTGAAATCAATCCTCTGGGGGATGGGGAGCCAGTGGAGGCGAGCGAGGGTGGGAGTGATGTGGTCCCGAAGCCTGGTGCGGGACAGTACACGAGCTGCAGAGTTCTGAATGACCTGCAGCTTGTGGAGGGAGGTGGCGGGAAGGCCGGCGAGGAGAGAGTTCCCATAGTCCAGCCTTGAGGTGACAAAGGCGTGAACCAGGGTTTCAGCAGCGTGAGGGGTGAGGTAGTGCCGTAATCTGGCGATATTCCGGAGGTGATGGAAGGCGGTGCCAGTTGTGGTGCGGATGTGAGGGAGAAAGGACAGCTCAGGGTCGAACAAAACGCCGAGGTTCCTGACTGGCTTTGAGAGGTGGAGAGTGCAGCCTTGGATGCTGATGGTGTCAGCGCCTGAGGTGCGGAGGCGCTGACGTGAGCCAATCAGGAGGGCCTCGGTTTTTCGCACGTTGAGCTGAAGAAAGTTGTCTCTCGTCCAGGACTCGATGTCGGACAGGCAGGCTGTCAGGACATCGGTGGTCGTGGAGTTGAGAGTAGAGGAGGAAAGGTAGAGTTGGGTGTCATCCGCATACATGTGGAAGTTAACCCCATGTTTGCGGATGATGTCACCGAGGGGGAGCATATAGAGGGTGAAGAGGAGGGGACCGAGGACAGAGCCCTGAGGGACACCACATGAGACAGTACGGGGGGTGGAGGAGAAGCCATTCGTTGAGACGAAGTGAAGACGGTGGAAAGGTAAGAGCTAAACCATTCAAGGACAGTGCCTTGAAGGTTGAGGTGGGAGGACAAGCGGTGGAGTAGGATAGCGTGGTCGACCGTATCGAATGCTGCCGATAGGTCGAGGAGGACGAGGAGACAGAGGGAGCCCTGGTCACAGATGGTCAGGATATCATTGGTGACCTTGACCAGGGCAGTTTCTGTGCTATGAGCAGCACGGAAACCTGACTGAAGGGGTTCAAAAAGAGAATGGGTGGAGAGGAAAGAGCGCAGTTGGGAGGCGACAACTCTTTCCAAGACCTTGGAGAGAAAGGGGAGGTTGGAGATGGGCCGGTAGCTTGATAGCTGCGACGCATCAAGGGAGGGTTTTTTCAGGGTGGGCGTGATGATGGCAGTTTTTAATGGAATGGGGACAGAGCCAGAGGAGAGGGACAGGTTTATGATGTCAGTGATATGTGGGGCAAGAAAATGGAGCTGGGAGATAAGGAGTGGAGTGGGGATGGGGTCAAGGGAGCAGGTGGTTGGTTTTAGGGATAGGATGAGTTCAGTGACAGAGGGTGGGGAAACGGGTACGAAGGTGTGTAGGGGAGGATGGGTAGGAGTCGGAGTGTGGGAGGGAAGGGGTGGGTGGTGGGTGGAAGTTGGAGGGGAAGTGACCGCGGAGCGGATTCCCTTGATCTTGGATTCAAGGAAATCCAGCATCTCCTCGCAGTGAAGGTTGGAGGAGATGACCTGCGCGGGGTGGCGGGGGGGACGGAGGAGTCGGGATGTGGTGGAAAACAGTAGCCTGGGGTTGTTCTTCGCCTCCAGGATTATCCTGGAGTAGAAGGACGACTTGGCCGAGGCTAGAGTGGAGCGGTAAATTTTGAGGAGGTCCAGCCAGATTTGTCGGTGGACCGTTAAGCCGGATTTGACAAAGGTGCGCTCAGCAGCCCGCACCTGGCATTTCAGTGAGCGGAGGTGGGTGGTGTACCAGGGGGAGGAGCGGGAGTAGGAGACAGTGCGGGAAGTGATGGGGGCAAGAGTATCGAGTGTGGAGGAGAGGATATTGTGGAGGAGGGAGAGAGGAGAAGAGGGGTCGGTGAGGGTTGAAGGCCAGAGGGAGAGGAGTTCAGAGGACTCCAAGGCATCGGTTAGGGATTGTGGGGGTAACTTCTTCCAAGGGCGGTAGAAGATGGTGGTGGGTCTGGTGGAGGTGGGGAGGGGGGTGGAGGTGGTGAAGGAGATGAAGTAGTGGTCGGAGATGGCCTTGTCGGTAATAGTGACATCCGAGACACTGAGGCCCCGGGTGATCACCAAATCGAGTGGGTGGCCGTGACTGTGAGTGGGGGAGTTTATGTGTAGGGAAAGGTTGAGTGAGGAGAGCAGGGAAGAGAAGTCTGTGGAGATGGAGCAGGAGGGGGTGAAGTGTAGGTTAAAGTCGCCCAGGATGATGAGGCGATCAGAGGAGAGGCAAAGAGATGTGAGGAGTGTTGAAATGTCAGAGATGAAGGTGGGAGAGGTTTTAGGGGGCCGGTAGAGGAGGAGGATTTTAAGGGAGAGGAATGAGGGGTGGGAGAGGGTGAGGTGCTCGAAGGAGGGGAAAGAGCCAGAGGAGTAGGGGGATAGGGCAAGTGGTGTCCTTGAGATAAGGGCAACACCACCGCCACGGCGGTTGGGGCGGGGGATGTGGTGGGAGGTGTAGCCGGGTGGCGTGGCCTCCGTGAGGGGGAAGGTGTCGCCTGGGGTGAGCCACGTTTCTGTCAAGGCCATGATATCAACGTTCTCATCAAGGATGAGATCGTTGATGACCAGGGCCTTGTTGCAGAGGGAGCGGACATTTTGCAGTCCGATGTGGAGGGAGCGGTTGACAGAAGGGTGTGTGGGAGGGGAGGGGGTCCAGGTTGTGAGGCAGGGGTGGGGGAGATGGGGATGAGGGAGGAGAGGTTGACTCCCCGGGTCTGTGTCCGGGGTGGGTGGCGAGAGTGGTGGGGAATGGGGCAGTCGGTGTGGCTGCTGCTGGACAGCCAACGCCGAGTGCCACGGTGAGCCCGGCGGAGGATTCCCAGACTGGAACAGAGGGAGGTTGTGGGAGGGTCAAGTGGGGATAGAAGACGAGAGGGACGGAGAGAGAGGAGGAGAGAGCGGGAGAGATGCAGAGGGGGAGGGTTTGGGGGGAGAGAGGAGGGGGGCGGGAGGGAGGGGGTGAGGGGGCTCGGGTCAAAGCGGCAGCCATAGTGCGCACGCGGGGACCGGGAGCGAGCGGTCAGGTGGATGGCATTATCCCGCAGATTGGGGCATCGAACCCAACAGGACCATAGTGGGCTCTGATGTGAGCCCTGGGGGGGGGGGGGGGGGGCGCAGAGGTTTTTTTTTTTTTTTTTTTTTTTGTTTTTTGTGCGCGCGCACTCACCTGAAAACTAATCTATGACGTCGCAGTTCCCCCGCTCCGCCCCCACACCTCCCTCCCCTCCCTAGCTGCACTCGCTCCGGCGTCGAGTTTAAGTACCTGGGTCAGTAGGCCCAGGCTCCTCCCCGCGCTGTCCTGCTGCCGCTCCCCGACTGAGCAGAGCGGATCATGGCGCAAATATGGGATAGAAAGGATAGTTGAGAGTCGAACAAGACTACAAAGTTCGGGACTGGCTTACTAAGCTGGAGCAACCATGGATGGTGATGCTGTCAGCGCCTGAGGTGTGGAGGCGCTGACGGGAGCCAATCAGGAGAGCCTCGGTCTTGTTAACATTCAATTGAAGAAAGTTAGCTCTCATCCAGGACTTGATGTCTGACAGACATTCTGTCAGGACAGAAGTAGTCCTGGAGTCAAGGGTGGAAGCAAAGAGGTAGAGTTGGGTGTCATCCGCATACATGTGGAAGTTAACCCCATGTCTGCAGATGATATCACCAAGAGGGAGCATACAGATGTTGTGGAGGAGCAAAAAAATCCCAGTTCATCCAGTCTCTGCTCATAGATGAAACCACTCATCCATCGTATCATCCTAGTAAAACTCCTCTGCTCCCCCTCTATCGCCTTGACATCTAACTAACAATTTATATAGGCTTAGCATTTTCTCTTTGCTTTTCTATCCTGCACTTCTATATATAAAATTTAAGGTTCCATTAGCTTCCATTAGCTGCTGGAATTCTATTAGGTGGGGTCTCTCGTCAACACTGCTGTAGGATCTTTAACATTGCAATGAATAGGCAAATGGGATCTCTGTTTGGATGGCCAAGTTTGTAATATGCAAAATAGGAGTATTTGTTTAATGTCAGAATGCATATACAGCATCCAAACACCCACATATCCAAGTACTTACATGTACTGTAAGGCAACAGATCATCAGGTTACTGGGTCTGACACAAGTGAAATTTGCCAATTAAACTTTGAATTGAGATCATGCTTCAGCATACAGCAGTGCATTTGTTACCTTTGTATGCCCAAAGTTATGCAAACCATTCCTTTTTACAAGTACTAAACTTTCTAACCGTAAACGATTTAAATAAAGTGATAAATGACTAATTTAAAATGTTCTATGCCCATATCTACATAACATAACATGTAGGAGCAGGAGTAAGCCATTCGGCCCTTCGAGCCTGCCCCGCCATTCAATCATGGCTGATCTTCTAATCTAACTCCAGCTAATAACCTGACCCTACCTTATCCCCATATCCCTTAATCCCTTTTGCAATAAGAAACCTATCCATCTCAGCCTTGAATATGTTCAAAGACAGAGTATCAACAGCCCTTTGGGGTAGTGAGTTCCATACATTCACCACCCTTTGAGTGAAGAAGTTCTTCCTCAACTCAGTGCAAAAGGGCTGGCCTCTGATTTTAAGGTTGTGACCCCTGGTTTTAGTTTCTCCAACCAGGGGAAACAATCTCCCACTATCTACTGTATTATGCCCTTTGATGATCTTATAGGTTTCTATAAGATCCCTCTAATTCTTCTATATTCTAGAGAATAGAGGCCCAAATTTGTCAGCCTATCCTCGTAACACAACCCCTTCATCCCTGGTACTAACATAGTAAATCTACGCTGCACCCCCTCCAAGGCAAGTGCATCCTTCCTTAAATGAGACCACCAAAACTGGACACAGTATTCCAGGTGTGGTCTCATCAGGGCCCTATACAGTTGCAGCAAGACTTCCCTACTCTTATACTCTAATCCTTTCATACTGAATGCTAACATATTGTTCGCCTTCCTAATTGCTGCTGCACCTGCAGACTAACTTTCTGCGATTGGTGTACAAGGACACCCAAGTCCCTCTGGACGCTAACATATTCTGATATGGGTCCACATCCTCCGCTTCATCCGCTCCTTCCGCTCAGCGGGCTCTGGCCTGCTTCACATCCCCTGCCTTGCCCGCTTCACTATTGGTGGACAGGTCTTCTGCCACTCTGCACCCAACCTCTGGAACTCCATCTCTTAATCCCTCCATCTCGTCCCCTCTCTCGCCACTTTCAAGACCCATCTCAAGACCCTCCTCTTCAACCGTGCTTCCGATCTCCCTGCTTTCACTCCTGCCCTCCACCCTCCCCCACCCCGACCCCCAGCTCGGGTCCGTAACTCTGTCTGTCCCACGCCTTTGGACGTCCTCCTGACATGAAAGGCGCTAAATAAATGTAATTTTGTTGTTGTTGCTGTTGATTGTATAATATCCCAGTAAAAATGGAATCACTGCATCAAAGAGTTTGCTTCCACACTGGACACTGAAACAAAACGACTACTTAAGTGGCAGCCCAACTCACCAATAAGTTCGGATATTGGCAGTTTCTTCTGCTGCTGAGTTAATTCGGAGTTGAGATCTTCGTAAGCGATATCAATGCAAACAAAGTTTTCCCTTGAGAATAAATAAGACAAAACGTTAGTTAAATTTTGAAACTGGTTCAAATTTAAAAATTTGCATTGCCAAATCAAACTAGTTCTGTTTTGCGCATGTTTGATGGTGAATCTACCGTCCGAAGTCAACAAAGTCTGAAAAACGTGGTGCGAGCACACTGCCTAGTGAATTCAGGACATCTGAGCTAGTAAGCAATTGTAGATCTCAGTCATAAAAATAATAATAATCTTTGTATTTGATATAATGCATTTATAAGGCCTTTCACATCAGGATGATGACTTAAAGCGCTTCACAGACAATGTTCCCTGTAGGTGAATGCGGCAGTCAATTTGAACACAGCAATGTCGCATGAACAGCCATGAAGTAAATGACCAATTTAATTTGGGGAATTATTGACTAGGACTCTGGGACAAGCTCCCTTCTCTTTTTAAATAGTGCTATGGGATCTTTCAAGTCCATGTGAATAGGCAGGCAGGACCTCAGTTTAATGTCTCATCTAAATGGTGGTACCTTCAATAATAAAACACACTCCTGTGCTGCATTGGAGTGTCCCACAAACTGCTGTGTGCAATTGGCTGCTGCGTTTGACCCACAAAATATACAGTCAATTCAGTTTACAATATATTCTGTGAAGCGCTTTAGACGTCTCAAAGACGTGATAAGGTGCTATATCAAATGCAAGAATTATTATTATTTACATGATGGCTGTTTGTGAGACATTGCTGTGTGCAAAATGAATGCTGAGTTCACATAAAAAATAGTCACTGCACCTTAAAGTAAAGTCCTGTGAAGTGCTTTGATATATTTCAAATACGTGATAAAGCTCTATAGAAAATGCAAGGATTTTTATTATTATTTCCAGCTATAAATCTCAGTCATTTTCTTTCTTTTTGCTCTCCATTTGTTTGTTCAATTGAAATGTTAATAACACTGAGAAGACTGGTCTAACATTTTGAATGCAGTGTGCAGGAGAGATGGAGACTTACACAGGTTGAGAGGAAGTTTGATTTCTCCATATGATCTGGACTAATGATTATTTATCACACCAATGTAAGCAATGTTTGGCTATTTGTAAATCCGATAAGGGAGGATAATTACGTACTGACATAAAAAAACAAGCAACATATTTTGGTTCCTATATTTTGCATGGTTAAGTCTGAGAGGTTATTTGCACTTTTCATCAGTGGATTAACAGCTCATGTTGATCATTTTGTATTTTTTTGTACTCAAGATAACCAGGATGTTTGATTAATAATGGTTACAAGCTTTGAGAAATCATGTGTAAATAATGGATACAGTAAACAGAAAGTTCCTTGGTTACTGAATATCTAACACTTCAAGACTTATTATCTTTCTGTCAAGTACTGACAAGTACATGCTATATTGAAAGCTAAATGTCCGAATTGAGTTTGGCTGCTGACTAACTGCCTCTCTGCATACAGCACATTTAATAATAATAAATAATAGTAATATACAACCTGAAGAGATGTCTGAGGAGTACTGAGCAGTAGCCATTTTTTAACCATTCTGTTACGACAGCGGGCTTGTTTTATGTGCCCGAACCATTGTGTTATTATAGGGTCTGACTCTATAAAATGAAATAGTAATAATCTGCAGAAATAATGGTGAGATATCCCACCTTCTGCATAAGATGAAAGCAAGAAAGAATGTTCACAGGGGCTTGTCAAATTGTTGCGTCTCAGAGCATTTTGCAAGCAATTTCTGTATAGTGTAGTGACCTTGGGACGTCCTTCCGACGTGAAAGGCACTATATAAATGTAATCTTCTTGTTGTTGTTATGCGGAATTAGAAATAAGACAACCTGATCTGACTCAGAACATACATATAACAGCACCCAATGAAGGTGACCTCTGTGACTTTTGAACTGAGGAATGCTATCTAGTCATTTTATTTAACAGCTACAAATACAAACATTTGAAGCTTTCCCTCTGATAACCTGCAGATAGTACTCACCTGATATACTCCTTGGTTTTCTGAAATTTTGTGGAAAAAAAATGCAACCCTTTGTTACTTGGAAAAGTGGAATAAGAGACACGAGTGGCATATTTTGTCTCTTGACACGGAGCGGGGCAGTTGGATCTGTATGGACCTGCTTTGCAGAGTCCCTCTTTCTCTATGAAATCTAGAAGATAAAGAGGAAAAGCACAATTTTAGTTTTGCTCCCAACCAATAGTTGAATATATTTGTTAAAAATAACAATTAGATTTGCAAATTATAATTCTCAGTACCTGGTCTGGGAAACAAATGAAGCAAATTGTACTTGTGAGAACTCTTCTCCAAGGGAGGAGCTTAGTTCAGTACAAAGTTCTCACTAGCTAGTTGGTGTGATGTATGTGAGGTTCTCTGCATGAGATGCACTTTATGTCCTGAGACAATTTACAGGATTTACACTGCAATTTTCTCATTCAAGTTTTTCTTCAACCCCCTGCCCCTGGCAAGTCAAGTTACTCCAATGGATCAATGATTAAATGTACTATGCAGACCTAATACTCCCAAAGATCATTATAGTAATGATAATAATAATCCTTGCATTTGTTATAGCGCTTTTCACGACTTCCAGACGTCACAAAGCGCTTCACAGAATATAATATAAAGTGAATTGACTGTAAATTTTGTGGGCAAAACATGGCAGCTAATTGCGCACAGCAGTGTCCCCCAAATAGTCGTGGATCGAGTGACCAAATTATTATTGTTTGTTTTTACTTGAGGGATTATTATTATCATTGTTCAGTGAATGAGCCGATCACAGCTTGGGTGGCAGGAAACAAGGTTTACATTTGGTCTCCACTGCACTGAATGAGGGAGGGTGGAAATCAGTCTGATCTTGATCTTGTTCTTGACCATGGGCAAGTGACCTCCACGTGAAATTCACATGATCTAAGCTGGGGACATTTTGCAGCTCTGCTGAGGCAGTTTCCATGATTCGTTAGCCTTCTGACATTCATTGAGATCTAAAGTTTGCAAACAAGGTCTGAAGGATAGGGAGCCAATGGGGTCGGGCGAGAGTGGGGGAGATGGGGTCATGGAGTTTGGTGATGGAGAGGACATGGACTGCAGAGTTCTGGATTATCTGCAGTCTGTGGAAGGAGGAGTTGGGAAGGCCGACAAGCAGAGCATTTGCATAGTCGAGCCTGGAGGTGAAGAAGACATGAATAAACGTTTCAGCGGCCTGAGGGGTGAGGTAGTGGCGGAGTCAGGGGATGTTACGGAGGTGAGGGAAGGCAGAGCGTGTCATGTCTTGGATGCGGGAAGAAAAGACAGTTGAGGGGTTGAACAAGACACCTAGGTTCCTGACTGGCTTGGTGAGTTGTAGTGTGCAACCATGGAGGTTGATGCTGCCAGAGCCTGAGGTGTAGAGGTGCTGGCGCGAGCCAATAAGGAGGGCCTCAGTCTTGTTTACATTCAACTGTAGGAAGTTTGCCCTCATCCAGGACTTGATGTCTGTCAGGACAGCAGTGGTCCTGGAGTTGAGGGTGGAGGCAGAAAGATAGAGTTGGGTGTCATCCTCATACATATGGAAGTTGACCCCATGTCTGCGGATGATGTCACCAATGGGGAGCATGTGAATATTAAAGAGGAGAGGGCCAACGACAGAGCCCTGGGGGATGCTAGACGCAACAGTGCGGGAGCTGGAGGAGAAACCGTTAGAGGCAACAAAGTGGAGATGGTGAGAAAGATAGGAATCGAACCAGGCAAGGGCAGGTCCGTGAAGATTAAGTAAGGAGGAGAGGCGGTGTATGAGGATGGAGTGCTAGACAGTGTTAAAGGCAGCAGAGAGGTTGAGGAGGACAAGGAGGCAGAGGGAGCCCTGATCACAGATGTTCAGAATGTCATTTGTGACTTTGATCAGGGCTGTTTCCATGAAATGCTACATTTAAGGATGTTACTTACACAGCAAGGGATACGCACAGTTGTAGTACTTTCCTGGCTCACATTCAGGTCCATGTCCTTGAAAGACAAATAATCTATTTCAATAAATTAAAGCTTCCACGCCTGGTAAGCACTCATGCCATTTGCCGTAATAATATATCAAATATTTGCCTTGCCAAGTTGAGATAGACTGGGATTTAGGGCTACGTTACATTGCAACCTGTGCACCCATTAAACTGCGTTAGCATCTGTGTTGCCAAAGCAATTTAGTGCTAAGCAAAGTATGGATTTATGTTGATCCTCCTCCCATTCAATAATGACAACACAAGCATTTCATTGTGGCCAGCACAAAGGGCATTAGGATAGATTAATACAGACAAGTTTTACATCACTCTTGTATTGATATAACTAATGCGTTGATTATACCAATATCTGTTTCAGCCCCAGAGTTGCCAATAATGCAGTATCATAGAATCACTGACTTTCATCACAGAACTAGTCTATTCAGCGTGCCATGTTTCAGCGATTATCTTAAGTGAAGGATGCAATATCATTGCAAGTTGTTGTTGTAGGCTATTTCAACCTATATTGCCTTTGCCGTCTTTCTGTCAGAGCTATCCAGTTAATTCCAATGCCCTGTCTTTTCCATATAGTCATTTAAAATATATCCTTTTGAACTACTTGTCTAATTCCCTTTTTAAAGCCATGGATTCCACTTTGCCCACCCCTCGACTGAACCGCCATGGTGGCGGGGTGGCTTTCAACTCCTGTTCCTTGATCAGCCTATCCCGTTACTCCTCTGGAAATTTCCCCTCCTTTGAGCACCTTACCCTCTATCACCCCTCCAACCTTACCCTCAAAATTCTCCTGATCTATCAACCCCCCAAGCCCTCCCCCACCTTCATCCCTGACATCTCCACCCTTCTATCTTCCCTCTCCCTTTGTTCCGAACACCTCCTCATCCTTGGCGATTTCAACCTTCACTTCAACCCCACCTGTTCTACTCCGCTGACTTTTCCTCCCTTATCCTCTCCCTCAATCTCTCTCTCAACATCCACTCCACCACCCACATCCACGGTCAGCCCCTCAACTTGGTGATCACTCGGGGCTTCACCATCTCGGACCTCACCATCATTGACAAAGCGATCTCGGACCATCAATTCATCTCCCTTAACTCCTCAATCACTCTTCCCAACGCCACCCAACCCACCTCCACCTCCTCCTGCCCCTGGAAAAAAATCTCCCCCCCTCCCTCTCGGCTGCCTTGGAGTCATCTAAACTCTTTCCCCTCTGGGCATCCTCCTGCAATGACCTATCCTTTGTGGAGTCCTGTAGCTCAGTGGATATAGCACTCGCTTTGCAAGCAAGAGACCTGAGTTCAATTCCAGGCAGGGCGAAACCTTGGGCAAGTTTCCTTACTCCACACGCCTAATAATAATCCCTCCAAAACAAACAACAATAATAAATTGGTCATTTTCAATCTACGACTGATTGTGGGACATTGCTGTACGCAATTGGCTGCCGCGTTCACCCACACATATACAGTCAATTAACTTTACAGTGTATTCTGTCAAGCGCTTTGGGAGTCCTCCCGATATGAAAAGCGCTATATCAAATGCAAAGATTATTATTATTATTATTATTACTATTATTATCCTCCTTGGTCACTCTTCTCCACAGCTCCCTATTCTCCACTCTTGATTCCCTCGCTACCCTCTCTTCCTGAACTGACTCCTCCGTCCACTCTCTCAGGCCTCACCCATCTTCACCTCAAATGCCAACTGCGAGGCGATGCTGGCTTCCTCAAATTCAAAGTCAAGGGAATCCACTCAGCTGACTCTGCCACTGCAACTGCAATCCCCTCCCCAACTCCTCCTCTAACCCCAGCCCCTACCCACCCCTCGCTCCACATCTTTGAACTCATCTCCTCCTCTCTCAGCACCATCATAACCCATATGATACACACCACCTGCTCCCTCGACCCCATCCCTACCCCACTCCTTACCTCCCAGCTCCACCTCCTTATCCCTCCACTCACTGACATTGTTAACCTCTGCCTGTCCTCTGGTACTGTTCCCACCCCTTTAAAAACCGCTGTCATCACTTTTATCCATAAAAAAACTCTCCCTAGACCCTTCTCTACTCCCTAACTACTGCCCCATCTCCAACCTCCTCTTCCTCTCCAAGGTCCTGGAACAAGTTGTTGCTTCTCAGCTTCGCTCCTTCCTCTCCCGCCATTCCCTTCTCGAAACCCTCCAATCGGGCTTCTGTACCGCCCACAACACAGAAAACACCCTGTCCATCTGGGACCAGGGCTTCCTCTGCCTCCTCGTCCTCCTTGACCCTCTGCTGGCTTCGCCACCATCGACCACTCTGTCGTCATCCTCACCGGGGTGTGTTGCATTATTGAAAGCAGGGAGATCGGAAGCACGGTCGAAGAGGAGGGTCTTGAGATGGGTCTTAAAGGTGGTAAGGGAGGGAGTGAGGTGGAGAGACTGCGGGATGTCCTTGGCCCCTCCTACCTCTCTGACCTGCTGATTCTCTACCAACCTGCCCGCTCCCTCCATTCATCGGGCTCCGGCCTCCTCTGTGTCTCCCGCTCGACCTATCCTACCATCAGTGGCCGGGCTTTCAGCCTCTCTGCCCCCACACTCTGGAATTTCATCCCACAGTCCCTTCGTCTTGCTTTCCCCTTGCCTCTTTCAAGGCCGGTCTCAAGACCCTCCTTTTCGATTGTGCCTTCGGTCACCCTCCCACCTCTCTGCCTTCCATCACTCCTACTCCATCCCTCCCCCTTGCTCGATTCCTGACTCCTGACTATCCAGGGCCTTGGGATGTCCTCCTGATGTGAAAGGCGCTCTATAAATGTAATTTTGTTGTTGTTGTATGTAAATTTGAACTCCCTCTCTTCTAAAGTCATTTGAAAGCAATGCTCTGCTATATTTATTGAAATACTTAGGCTTTTTTTTCATCTTAACTCCTGCTTTGGAAGTTGTGAAAGTTATTACAATTATCCACCATCTTCCCTGACTGTAAGAAAATCCGTTGATGTTGTTGATGCCTCTACTCTCCACCAACAGAGTGTCAGATTAACCCAGGTTTAAAGTACTAACTTGACATGTTAACAAATGCAGGGACCTTGACATTTTTATAGGAGCAACATTTGTATTATTCCTAAATAAATTAAATTTAGTGTAGAATTTAGGGTCTGGGGATGCCTGTCCTCTGGTACTGTTCCTACCCCTTTAAAAAACGCTGTCATCATTCCTATCCGTAAGAGGAAATATAGCAAATATTCAAAGCTTCCTTATTGTCACCGTAATAAACTGTTAGACACATACAACTTTGAAGTATTGTTTTCACTGATGACCATAAACCCGTTAGTTGCTTTTAACAGAAAATTATAAATGTACTAACCAGGCAACAGGAAAGGAAAGCAGCCACAGTGTTGTTTGATATACTTTGATTTACACTCCTGCAAACATCTGTATGTTGTATAGGTGTCGTGATATTCCAGGCTTATGTGAGGGTTACATTCTCCCCATGGGTATTCCTGGTTTATTGTCTATAGTAAAGAAACACAGATCCCAGCTGAAAACAGGCATTTAGGACAGTCGGAGATTTGAACTATAGATTGCCATGGCGCACACAGGAACAATAGGTGGAGTATCAAAGCACAACCAGTGCCTGTGGAACCGCACTCCTTTATCCTCACCAGTACCAATCTCCATAGCCCCATCACCCCAGTCCTTGCCAGACTCCACTGGCTGCCTGTCATAGAATGGATTGATCTCAAGATCTTCATAATCATTTGTATCTCACTTCATGCTCTGGCACCACTCAACGTCTCTGACTTCCTTACACCCCACTCCACTACCTGTTGCCTCCTCTCAGCTGGTTCCGGGCTCTTGCATGTCCCTTGTCCCTTCCACTCTACCATTGTCGGTCGTACCTTAGGTCACTACACCACAAAACTATAGAACTCTCTTCCTTAATCCCTCCGCCTTGCCACCTCATTCCCCGTCTTCAGATCTTACCTGAAGAACTTCCTCTTCAACCATGCCTACGATCATCTCTTTCTCCTCGGCTCGGTATCAAGTTCCATCACTGTTGAGCACTCCAGGATGCTAGCCCGGCTGAAGGGTATTTTATAAATACAAGTTTCTATTGTTGTTGTAAAGCCCACTCTGTAAATTACAGCTCTATCCACTACACTATCTGGGTTCCTTAGTTAATTTTACTTATCTTGTCAGAAAAAATTACAAAGGACTCCAAGTCTTATTCTGTTGATAGCCGTATGTTGTTGGTTTAATTTTTTTTGCTTACCTTCAGTTGCCGTATTACAGCATAGGCATGTATACCAACTCCCACAGACAGGCCCATGGTCTCAACCTGTGGTAGTTCATTGGGAGAATGGATCACAAAGTTCATCCCAGCATCGGTATAACCAAGGGCAGGATTGTCTGTCATCTCTGACTGTAAATTCAACAAAAAAAAATTTAGCTGAAAGGTTATAATTGGATCCAAAGTAGACATTTCCTTGCAAAAGTAGCTTGCAGCATAGAAATTTGCACTGGGGAAAATGGAGGAGGGGGGCAGGGGTCATAAAAATGGAGTAAAGTTTTAAGCATTTCATAATGAACACAAGGAACACATTATTAAATACCACAAACTTAACCCAATGTTTTATTTGATAACAGTTGTGGAACATTTTTAGAGCTGTATTGTTGATCAGGACACTGGGAAAATCTCCCTCCTCTTTTCAAATAGTGTTTTGGGTCTCGTTTTAAATTCTCATCCGAAAGACGGCAAGTAGGAGATAGAGTAACATTTCAAGTTAAATCTGACCCTTCTTAACTGATATAGAGACAAAGACATAAGGAAGAAATAGAAATGAAGTAATCTGCAGTTCTGGTGAAAGTCTTAGACCTTTCTTTCAGGATACTGATCAACTTACTCCAATTTTAAGCGTTTTCCAGTTTTAGTCAAGTCTTCTTTATTAATCACTCAAAATATAAAACAAACGTTGTAATTGGAGAAATCTAAAATGACTTTATTCATTCAATTATTTTCAAAACTGGAGAAATTTCTTTTTCACTTTTAGATGAAACACAAACCTGCTTGATATCAAATAGCACTCTTAGTCCCCTTCCTGATGTTTTCACTCGTCGTTTGCTTTTCAGATTCTGATGATTGAACGTATAGCAATTGCCATACTCAGTAAACACGTGCTCAAAATCCTGAAAAGGGCATTGCAGGAAAGAGTCAAATTAGACTTACTTATCTTGTAGATTTTGAGAGTCCCAAAAAGTTATGATAAATATGCAGATACTCAGACTGTACAAAACTCACTGCACTTTAGGTAGGTAATTCTGTAGTAAGTGTATTAATTGTGGATGATATGGATAGGGGATCCAGACTTCGATCAATCCACAAAATGTTATTTATGTATATAAAACTTTTAAAATCAATAGTAATTTAAATTCATCTGCACTTAGTTATTTCCACAGTAAATTCCCATTCCTTACTCTTTGCCATTAAGACATATTCTCTTTAGAATACTTTGTCAGGAGGTTTACCTCTTAAACAAGATAGATAAGTTTCATTTGATTTACATTTGGATAGCAGGGCTCTCCAGAGAAATCACATTGTAATAGAGTGCTGTTATCAAGCTGGTAACCGTGCTCTTTGGTGAAATTCTTGATGCTGAAACTTTCATTGCCTTGAAGAAAGTTATTGACACTTTCGGGAATGTTGTTTCCATCACCAGCATCAATGCTCAGAACTGCAGACACAATTTTCCATAATAAATATATTATGCTCACGTTGGCCACTGCTTTTTCTTGGTATCTGTAGAGAACAAAACACAATCACCATCTTACCATTTGAAAACTTAATAAGGACATTTGTATAAGTGACTCCATGATCCAAAATCCATCGCCACTAAATGTGGAGCCAATCTTTTACTTGTCATTTCTATCTGTTGTAAATTGTTAGATTTCTCCTCTCTTTCATACACACAGAAACATACTCCGTTTATATATTGTAACAAATAGCATGCGGTGAATCACATTTATGCACTTGGGCTAAAATAAAAATAGCAGTTGTGTTCAATTAGTTATTTTGCACATTTGTACAGTTTGTACAGTTTTGTTTCAAGCAGTACACATGTAGTATTAATTCAAGTCAAGGCATAGTAATTGAGGGCTTCCTTAACTGTTCTGGGATCCAATTTTGTGAGGGGTTATTTCTTCGCAAATTTCATAATATGAATTGTGTAATTCTTTTGCATGTAATGAATCTAATGAACTTTCCATAGTACATTTGATGCTATAGAAATGTATATGGGGAAATGTTGTAGTAAAAAATCTGTTACGATATATCAAAATTTAGTCCCCAAAAACCTGGAATAAGATTTGTAAAACTCATAGTGTGAATCAACTGTGAAACTCAGCCATAACAAAATCAGAAATACAAGAAATCTAACAACTTAAATGACATTGGTGGAACTGACAGGTGGAAGCTGGATAAATCATGCAGCAAGCACATGTAGAGAAAATGTAGAGAAAAGTATCAAAACATATCAATGGTGCAGCATATTTCAAATGTTTCAGTAGAGATGCCAAAAATGTAGGTATACTAAAGCTAATATACTGACCAATTATGTACTAAATTGCAGGCTAAAACAGATGGGTTATATGATCAGCTTTGTATGAGAATGCATGACTTCCAGACAAATGCCAAATGGTTAAAGGATTTGAACGAATTACAGAATGAATTGTTCCTAACACAAAATCAAGAGATCCAACAGCAGTGCATCTGTGGTCTTTTCGAAAGGGCATTTATTGCTCATGCACACAGAGACTGCTAATGTTTATGGTCCCTTACATCTTTTTTGCCATTCTTTGGATGAAATGTTAAACCAATGTCCCATTTTCCTGTTCAGGTGGATGATGTTCAAGATCCCATCTCACTATTCAAAAAGAGAAGGGAGTTTCAACAAGTCCCGCCAAGAAAATATATCCTTAAAGGTATGGATTGTTTTAGTTTGAAGTGATCGACTTCAAGATCCTCACCCTTGTCTTCAAATCCCTCTATTCCTCTGCAATCCCCTACCTCTCCGACCTCCTCGCTCCTCAAAACAGTGCCCATTGCCTTTGTTCCTCCGGGTCTGGCCTCCTCCTTGTCCCCCGAGTCCTCCGCTCCACCCTCGGCGGCCGTACCTTCAGCCACTATGCTCCGAGGCTCTGGAACTCCCTTCCTCACTCCCTTTGCCTCACCCCCTCTCTTCCTATTTTCAGGACTCTGCTGAAGAACTTTCTTTTCGACTGCGCCTTTTGTCACCTTCCTCCCCCTCCCCCTGACTCGGCCCCAGGATCCGTTACTGTGAAGCACTCTGAGATGCCATCCGACATGGAGGGCGCTATATAAATACAAGTTGTTGTTGTTGTTTAGACTCAGTCAGAATCAACTTGACATAGGAGGCTGCCAGGCAAATAAACAGGGCATTAGATACCTGTTTATAGACAAATAAGCTTTGAAGATTGAATTATCTTCAGTCTCGAGAAGAGATGCCTCAGAGGGGGATCTTATATAGATATGTGAGATTTTAAACGTGATTAAAAAAGTAAAGCCAGAGCAATACTTTCAGATACAATACAATTTAAAATATAATTTATACTTGTACACCAAATTTCACTTCGCAGAGACGTCTCAAAATGCTTCATAGTGAAATCAGAGTGTAAACTGAAGAAGAGAGTGGAATGCACAAATGCTGAGAACAAGAGAGCACAGGTTTAGAGTTGCAAAAGATCATTTTAAGACAGAAACTAGGAAGTATTTCTTTTCACAGAGGTTAATTAACAACTGACTACGAAGCGTGGTTGAGGCAAATGCTGGACTCATTTAAGAAAAAAGCTTGATGTTTTAATGTGAGGATTATAGGGTGGATATTCTGGCAGAATGAGATCAAATGAGTCAAAGAACATTCTTCATCCAAACCTCTCTTATGATCTTGATGGAGGCTTTTCATTCCATTAACGATAGGGTCTTTGATCTGATGTTTATTTACCTGGGACTGTCTTCACTTTAATTAGTGAGACGAAACATGCATGAAAACTAAATAGTGAAAATGTATATAGCATTTGCTCCACTGGTGAGTTTAAACAAAAGTGTTAAGAAAGCCAATTGATGGATAAAATGTAGCTTGTCATTAATTAAGTTTGATAAAAAATCTATGCAATGATCTCGGAAAAAAAATTCATCTTGTAGTCACAAAGCAAAGATAATCCTCGTTTTTTTTTAGAAACTTTAATTCTATGTTTGACTTTCATGGCATTTTAAGAAAAAAATATATCTTAGTTAAAATTAATTAATTGTTAAAATCACACCACTTATGGAATTTCTTTGATTTTACAGCAGTTAGAATTAAATCTTAAACATGAGACCTGGAATACCTGTTTAAATTGCAGAATGTAACGGCAGGAAATTCAATATCTTCAACATACTTGATGGTGAGAGACGTGGATGTTGGCCAAGTGAAATAATTAATAAAGAGTTGGGTAATCTGGGAAGAAACTCCAATTACAGAAAGTGAGACAATCACTATCCAGAGGACTCTGCGGATTCTGGGTTTGCTCTGCAGTGCATTGTGCAAACCATGGAGAGAGGTTGAGGTTGCAAAATCATAGTCAATGTGTCTTATGTTCTCCATAGATGTAACTGCTTTTCCACAAAAGACCAAACTTTTTTTAATGCTCCTGAAAAGATACAACCGAAAGAAAATAACACTATCAGTGAATTTATGGTTTTAAATAACGGCAGCTTTGACATGTGAAGAGCGTTTCAAGTTTACTACAATAATACAGTTCATTACATAGTAATACTTAGAATATACAACACAGAAAAGGCCATTTGGCCCAACTGGTCTATGCCGGCATTTATGCTCCACATGGGCTTCCTCCGGCCCTTCATCAACTAAACCTATCAGCAAAACCTTCTATTCCTTTCTCCCTCATATACTTATCTAGCTTCCCCTTAAATGCACCTATGCTGTTCGCCTCAACTACTCGTTGTGGTAGCAAGTTCCACATTCCCACCACTCTCTGGATAAAGTTTCTTCTGACTTCCCTATTTGATTTATTGGTGAGTATTTTATATTTATGGCCCTTAAACCTTTTCATCATTTTAAAGACCTCTATTGGGTCATCCCTCACCCTTCTCTTTTCAAGAGAAAAGAATCGAAGCTTGTTCAGCCTTTCGTGATAGTTTGCAGTTCCGGTATCATCCTTCTAAATCTGCTTTGCACCTTCTCCAGTGCCTCTATATCCTTTCTATAATGTGGGGACCAGAACTGTACACAGTACTCCAAGTGTGGTCTAACCAAGGTTCGATATAGGTTTAGCATAACTTCCCTGCTTTTCATTTCTATCCCTCTATAAATGAACCCCAATGCTTGGTTTGCTTTTTTTAATCGCCTTATTAACCTGCATCGCTATTTTTAGCGATTTGTGTATTTGTATCCCTAGATCCCTTTGCTCCTCTACCCCATTTAGATTCTTATTTTCCAGGCAGTTTGTGACCTCTTTATTCCTCTTACAAAATGTACCACCTCACACTTATCTATATTGAAATTAATTTGCAAATTAAATGCCCATTCAGCAAGTTTATTAACGTCTTGCTGTAATTTGCTGCAGTCCTCCTCAGTATTATTTACAGCTCCCAATTTGGTGTCATCTGCAAATTTTGAAATTGTACTTTCGATCCCTGAGTCCAAATCATTAATGTGAATTGTGAACAACAGTGGTCCCAATACTGATCCTTGTGGAACGCCACTTCCCACCCTCTGCCAGTTTGAGTAGCTACCCTTTACCCCTACTCTCTGTTTTCTGTCTTGTAGCCAGCTTGCTATCCATTCTACTACTTTTCCCCTGACTCCACATGCTCTGACCTTATCCATTCATATCTTGCTATTTTATACAAATCTTAAATCATATGAGATAATAAATATTGAGCAAATTATATACCAAGATTGGGGTAAACATTGATAACTAATTTAAAATCAAATACTAATATGTTTGGCAATTTAGAACCAATTGTTATTGTTTCACAGAGCCTGTAACACATATATGTTACAGTAAAGTTGTGAAACCAGGGATTTTGGACGTCCCTGATATTTTCAATAAGGGATTGTTAACACAATTGAGGCTTCCATGACACTAGGAGTTACATTTTAGCTTTGCACAGACTTTGTGTGGTGGACAAGACTTTACGAAGTGTAACTACGGTCAGAAGAAATTTCAGACTAACCATTGTAAATGTTTGAATGCAAAGATAAAATTAACATTTGACTCATCAGTGAATAAAATGTCACATGAAGTATATGATGAATAAAATATTAATTTTCATAATGTGTTATTTATTTGCTGTTAATGCTAACAACTGTCAAGGCAAGGTTATCAACATGATGAAATGATCACTTTTTCACAAAATCCCTGATTTCTAATTTGAGTGATTTCATGGTTTCATAATTTTAATGAAAACTTCAGGAATTTTGCAAAATCCCTGGTTTCACAATTTTGCTGTAACATATACAAATAAAGATTTTTTAATCATCTTTTCTATTAACAATGTATAATATGAGTCAAAGATTTGTTTTTGTCAAATCAGTCTAAATGCATTGGAATAATTGTCTTATAGAATGAGACACATTAATTTTTCATGGTGCTGCTGTATTTACTACTAATAAGTAATAATCACTGTATCTGCTATAGTGCCTTTACAATCTTGAGGATGTCTCAAAGTGGTTCACTGGATCCACTGTAAAATCAAGTAATACTCTATGTAGGCAATATTAGATTAATATCTGACAAATATATATAACATATTCAATACATAATATAGTATTTGTGTTTCATACAATACATAATTATATATTTAATTAACATATATATTAATATATTATAATTAATATAAGAAGTTACTATTCACCTACACAATCCACAGTCATTACACTTTATAACAAATCCTATGGAGCACTTTTTGAGACATTATCTCCACGTGAAAGGCTCTACAACAACAATAAATGGCGCCCCTCATGTAAATAGTATCTTGGAGCTCTTAACAGCGGTGTAGTTTGACGCCAAGGTGGAAAGAGAGGGGAGGTGACTGAAGGCACAGTCAAAGAGGAAAGTTTGCAGGTGTGATTTGAAGACAGGTGAATAGTGGGCAAAATGGAAGGATTGAGGCATGGCATTATATTAACAAATGCAAAGATTATTTTGTTATAAGCAGAATCTACCTTCCTTAAACTAATATTTCTCTCCAGGCATCATCAAAACAATTAAATGAATGTTGAATGAATCACAGATACCGGGGCCAAAAATATGACATTTGTATCTGGATTTAGCAATATTTAATCTATCTAATAACAAGAAGTGTGTTGGGTGAATTTTACAGCTCTGACAAGATCTATCTCTGATCTCCCTGTAATTAGGTCAGTGTAATGCACCTCTGGCTCTGGGCAGATGAATCCTATGCAAATCAGTTGGGAATTTTGCCTTCTGACCCATTCTAATTGTAACATGCTCTGCCATTCAGTTATGTAAATGTACACAAGCTTGTGGAATTTCAATCATATGTTTGATGAGGTTATGTTTCAATTTATCAACAATATACCATTACTCTTGTGGAGCTGTCCTACTTCTGAAACAAGTTCATATCAAGACTGGAAAAATCTAAACCCAGGAAGAATATCTTATCCCATGCTTAAATGGCACATCATAACCCCTTCCCCCTCCCCCCACCAAAACCAATAGTCCTTCCACAGCTCATTGAAAAATATGAATAGCTTTAACTGGTTAATCTCAAAAGGGCTAGTAATTTGATAGTTTCTGTTAACTCTAGGCTTAGAGGATTGATTTTTATTGTTGTTAAACAAAACATAAACTCTAAATATATCTTTCGCGCAACTCAGATACTACATTTTTCTACTTAACAGTATTATAAAAGAGCAAAAGTAGAGTGAAATTTGTCATGTTTCATAATGGTTTCACCTCGATATTTCTCAATTTATTGTACAGTATTTGGGGAAAATATATGTTTTTAAATGATCCAGTGTTTCAAACGGATAGGGAGGAGATTTGAATAGTGTAAAACTCATTAGCTTAACAAATGTTAGTAACATGCATAGATTACAGAGAAATGTTTCACTTACCTCTTGCTTTAAGCTGTAGTACAAAATCATTGAAGGGTATAAAGCAATTCTCCTAACAGTGTTTTACTGAGTTGTTGTGCTGAGCAAAGGAGAAGAAACACTGATGTGACTGAATAACTGGAGGAAGAGAATGCTTGTTAGTACAGGTAGATTACAGTGGCCTGGGAGCTGTTTTATATCAGCACATATTTCAGATTCCTGGCAGCACTTGCTGCTGTTCAAACATATATGCACCTCATGAGTTCATTACAATATAGGGGATGAGATTTCACTATAATTACCCTCTTTTCACTGTAATTACTAAACAAGGGAAAGGTTTGCATACAAAATCATAGAGGGGTTATTTTGGATTGTTTCTATAAATGTGTCAAATACTTTTATCCAGTATTAGCATGTGTCTGTTTTGATGATACATCAGAGTTGTGCAATAAGATTTTTCAATTATACTAACATCCAAAGATACCCAGAGTATACCACAATTCCATATAAAACTCCTCACCTAAATTGGGGGACTGGAAGGGGGCTTAATCTTGTATTCAAGCGTTTCCCTTTAACAGCAGTTAGCTCAGTGATTGATAGCTAGTTCCACATAGAAGTGTAGGATCTCTTGACTGTTCTGCCCCATCGAGCCTTCAGTAGACTATGAGCTCAAAATCCTGATAAGTAGATAAATCCATAGCTTTATGACTCAGAGGTGAAATATTACCAACTGAGCCAAACTAACACACGGAATTAGAACCATGAACTGTACTGACATAGGCTTTATAGTCAATTTTGTTTCCGTGGTTTACTGTGGAGAAAAAAGTGTCTCTAAAGATTTAATTTGAACCTGAAGTTAATAACACAATATAAGATTTTTCAGATATTCTGGCCTTTCAAGGGCACCAGAACTGGTCTGGTATTTATCCTTACTGCCTGAAGTGCGTAGCAAGGCAATAAAGTATTAAATAAAATCTATATTTTAATATTAATGGTCACAAAGAAATGGCATTGCGTAAAATGAAGAGCCAAGCTAACTGAGCGGAAAGGATTAAGACGAGTGATATTTATGTCTGTTTGAACCTTAAGAAAAGTAATGAAAAGTAGCCATGGAGGCTAATGTTCCATATTCACAAAAAGATACAATGTGTCAAATACAATCTCCAAAAGCTGCCAAAATGTGACAAAATCCAGAGAGCAAGATACTCCCTCCATCCTCTCACTTTGGCAACCTCAAATGTTGCTTCACTATTTCAAAGTAGGAATCTGTCAGTATCCTAGTACTATTAAAGTTCATGCTTTGGAGGTGACAGAAATATATAACTTTATACATATACAGGCTCCAAGTTTAGCTTTGATGCCTGACATGCATATCTGCATGATGGAGCAGTTAATAATAATCCCCAGTATATCAGGAATGTGATACAATCCCTTTCCCTTTTCCCTTCTATTGCTTATCGGTGATCATTGGGGAAGAAAAATATGACTGCTGTTTCATACTGTTATCGCTAAGTACATAG